TATAACATTTAGTCTGCTCAGAAAAAAAAAGGGTTTATTTAACAAAATCACCATCTACATTGCCATAATAAATGAAAATTAATATTTTTGTAAATAATTATTGCTAAACTGGTAACTGAGGTAAAAATTAAGAGATCTGAGCTATTGGGGCCTCCCTGGTGGCACAAGGGGTTAGGCACCGCTCTATGAAGCAATCCGCAGCCTCTGCAGCATGAGTTCGATCCCCTGGGCGGCCAGGGAGCAATCCAAATGGCGAGGCAGACCTCTCCTGTCTCGAGTTTGATCCCTGGCTGGCCAGGGAGCAACCCACATGGCAAGGCAGACCTCTCCTGTCTCGCCCGCTGCTCCTCTCAGCAGCGTACTTCTGTCAGTCTACCTGTTCTGTTCCCCACTCTGTCTCTGGTGAATCCTCTCACCCCCCTCATCTCTGGCCTGTACCCCAGTTCTTGTATGCATAAATAAATAAATCTTTTAAAAAAAGAGAGAGATCTGAACTATTGCAGCTACTTCATACAACTTTTTATATACACATTCCACCATGCAGTGTGTTTTCTTATTCTTTAATATAGGATAGATGAAAATACTAGGCCTATTTCAAAACACTGGAAATTAATTAACAAAAGGGTATTTTAGAATAAGTATAAATCAAAATCAAAGACTTATCACTACAGAAAATTTATTAATTATTGCTAAACTGGTAACAGAAAATTTATTATTTATTAAAAAATTATTAATATCTAATAAGATATTCACTTTTCTAGAGCATTAAAAAATTAATTACTTTCTTAAATAATATTTGAATTTCTAGAGATGTAGAAAAATATAGGGTAGTAAAAAATAAAAATTACAAACTAAACCAGAGGTGGAAGTCAAAAATTTTCCCTGGTCCTCAAGTCTCCTGAATATTGCTAAAGGTTCTAAAGTGTCTTAATTGAAAGAGTAAGCAACCTTCATTTCTAGAAATGGTTATGACCATTTCTACATTACGAGGTATATGTTTCCATATGATGTTGAACATGGGGTAATAAAGTAAGTTTTGCCTCACAATTCAAATAATGAATTATCTATTTCAAGTCTTTTTTGGAATTCTGAAGGAAATGATATACAAACAAGAATAAAAGCAGAAAAAAACAAATTTTAGTATTTCATTTTGCTTCATCTAAAGATTTCTTTTTACACATGTCTCTGAGAATTTTCTAGGAAAAAATAAAGTAAATAAATAAAGCATATTACTGGCTAATTCCCTTTGAAAACCAGTGTTGCTGAAAAGCTTTGTGATTGTCAAAATCAAACTCATAATGTGTAAGTTAAAAACTAAATAATTAATGAATATTATCTACCAATTTTCAGGCTCAAATATTGTTACTAGGCCCTCCTCTCCCCTTACTTGGAAGTCCCAAAGATATTTAAAATTTATTATGTTCCAAAAAGAACTTTCTAAGTCCCTCATAAACGTAGCACATTTTTCTGAAACTCAGTGAATGATACCACAATCAATTTACTCATTAAGAAATCTAGGAGATACCATAATATCAGCTGCAATTACCACTATTTGGGAACAGTTACTTTAGACCAAGTATTATATACTAGGTATATTTATATCAAATCTAAACCCCCTCCTCCAAAGAACCTACAAAATAGGTATCATTCTGAAAAATATCAGTAATATTAGGAATTCGGTTTAGTTTTAATTCATTCAGGTTTCCTCCAGTTAATGTGATCACTGAACACTTCTCAAAAACTTTGCTAAAAAAAAACCAATGGTGCCAGTAAGAATCAGACTTTTTTTTTTTTAAAGATTTATTTAGTAGGGCCTCCCCGGTGGCGCAACGGTTGAGCGCTGGGTTGCAAAGCTGCCCGCGGCCTCTGCGGCACCGGTTCGATCCCCGGCTGCTCCCCGGCCACTGAGCGAGGGTCCCGCATGGCGCGCAGACCTCTCCTGCCGCCCGCTGCTCCCCTCAGCAGTGTACTTCGGTCCTTCTGCCTGCTCTGCTCCCCGCTCTGGCTCTGGTGAATTCTCTCACCCTCCCGCGCTTCTGACTGTGCCCAGTGCTTGTATAAATAAATAAAAAATAAATCTTTAAAAAAAAAAAAAAAAAAAAAAAAGATTTATTTAGTTATTTACACAAGAATTGGGTCCAGTCAGAAGCACAGCAGGGTGAGAGAATTTACCAGAGCCAGAGTGGGGAGAGAACAGGCAGAGTGACGAAATACACTGCTGAGGGGAGCAGCGGGCCCAGCAGGAGAGGTCTGCGCACCATGTGGGACCTTCGCAGGTGGCCAGGGATTGAACCGGCGCTGCAGAGGTTGAGGGCAGCTTTGCAGCCCGGCGCTCAACAGCTGCGCCACCAGGGGAGGCCCTAAGAATGAGACTTTTTAAATGATTTTACTTTAATGCTTTTTTTTAAAACTACCATCACAAATTTTCCATTAGTTCTTCCTTTTTGCCAAAATCATATCAGTGATGTATAAAGATGAGTCCCTAAAAAGAGTAAATACAAGTTTAAGCTATATTGTTTATAATTAATCAAAACTTCACCTCCTATAGTGAGATACCTTGGTGTAATTCCAATTTCAGATGATTTATTTATGAGAATTTGACTGTTAGAATAAAGTACTTAAATAGTAGGGTAAATAAAGAATGTATCAATGTTATGCTTTTTATAGGAGTGGATAAACAGAGTAAATTACTATTTCTATGAGATAGCAATAATGTACATTAATTGGGCACCAACCAGGCACTAAGCCTAAATGGTATGGGAAGTAGGTGAACAAGTTATAACATAAGATCCCTTCTCTGTGGACACTAAATGAATAATATAACACTAACAAAAGAGACCAAGAGTGCTTTGATAGGAGCCTCCCTAGTGGTGCACGGGTTAAGTCTTAGCACTATCAATCTATCACCAGCCACTGCTGCATGAGTTGATCCCTGGCCAGGGAGCTGACCCACAAGGTGCAGCAGACCATACCTGTCTTGCCTGATGCTCCCTCAGCAGTGGATTTCAGTAGATCTACCTGTTCTGCTCCCCACTCTATCTCTGGTGAACACTCTCACCCTTGCACCTCAGGCCTACACCCCAGTTCTTACATGCATAAATAAATAAAAATCTTTTTTTAAAAAAGAATACTTTGATAGAATATCATTAATTACCAAAAGCAATATAAAATGACGCATAACTAAAAGAACTCATAAGAGAGGGAGATGACTCTTCAAACATACAATATAAAATACTACTAAAAAAATAGCAAATTTAGCATAATAAATAGTACAAGTATATTTGTATACAGTAAATATGCAGTACAAAGCAGAGGAGGCAGAAATATTTCCAAAGAAATTATGTAAATCTGCCTTAGCTGCCTCTTACATATACATGCATTATCAATTTGCACAATACCTTTCTTTAAAAAAGTTCCACAGAAGAAGAGCACAAGGGTGATGGGAATTTTACAGGGACTATAACCAAGATGAAAATGCATACATTGTACAAAAATGAAAAATAATGTAAAAAATATAAAAAATTAAAAATAAATTTAAATTTAAAAAAAGTTCCACAGAAACAATAATTTATTTAACACAGTAGGTGCAACATCCTACCAAAATACAAAGCAACTGTCTCCAACTTCCAAATATTACCCATCTGTCTACAAAGTGTCACAATTAGATGTACTGACATAAGCACAATGCACTACCAAATGCTGGAAATTCTGCAAGAATTAAAAAATATGGGCACATGGAAATGAGATAATCCAAGTAATGCAACAGCATTCTTAAAAATGATTATTTCAACATCTTGAAAAACCCACATACAGTATCAATGCCAAGTAAAAGAAATTGCACACAAAACCAAAAAAATGGGTATTTCAGTATGTAACTTAGGAAAATAAATTGGAAGTTACTTATATAAGAATTTATTTTTATATATCTAGCAAGGTTTTAGTGCTGTATTCAAAATGAAAGCTATCACATCACAGACTATATCACTATTTAAAAGTATGAGATCAAAATATACCTATTTGCAACTGTATCAAGCTCATTATTTCAAGTAATATTAACCTTTAATTTTCACTTATTATGGTCTAAATTGCTACCACCAAATCCATGCAAAGTTGTTCATTTTCTAAATATTTAGGGATGCCTGTTATTGCAGTAGGAAAGATTTAAGACATACGTCAATTTTGCTAAAAATAGATTTTTCTATTCTTTAAATTCAGAACAAATCAAGTGATGGATTTAGAAAAACTGTACTCTATATTTTACATATGTTAATGGTAACTACTAGCTCCCTTATGGAAAATCCACAAAAGGGCTACTTAAATGTCAACTCTGGATTTAGAAAAATGATAAACTCATATTATTCAGAAAAATACGCAATCTTTGTTTTAACTTACAAGGTGCATGCAAAACAGTGTTAGTAGACATTTCAAAAACAAGTTTTGTTACGATGAATTATTCTACTACAAAATAATTTATTGTCTGTAAAATGAAACCCAAATTGGCTTAAAAATAAAAACTTTCTTTACCATGGTCTTAAATTTAGAAATAAAGGGCCTCTCCTGGTGGCGCAGCAGTTGAGCGCTAGGCTGTAAAGCTGCCCACAGCCTCTGCAGTGCCAGTTCAATCCCGGGTTGCCAGCAAGGGTCCCACATGGCGGGACAGACCTCTCCTGCCACGCCTGCTACTCCCCTCAGCAGTGTATTTCGTCAGTCTGCCTGTTCTATTCCCCGCTCTGGTGAATTCTCTCACCCTCCCATGCTTCTGACTGTACCCAGTGCTTGTATAAATAAATAAAATAAATCTTTTAAAAAAAAATTAGAAATAAAGTGTTATATTTTTAATGTTTTATATATATATTTATACTTAATATACTTTTAAAAGACGCTTGATTTGGATTTTTTTCAAACTTGAACTCCATTCAATATTTTATTAATAATTGAAAAAATTTTCCAAAAGAACAACAAAACAGTTGTATTTAAAATACAAGTTAAAGTTTACATACCTTGGCTTCCGAAATGCTAAACTGTATTGTTGGCAAGCCAGACCCACGGTGGGAGTATAAACAATAGGCATGAATTTCTCAATGTCAGACATTAGCATTCTATAGAAGAGCTTTTCATTTCTATCTTGAAGATCCATTAAGAGAAGATACCTGTGAAAATTGGATATGATTAGATTCACATCCCAACAGTTTCAAAATAGCTGCTTCAAAATCTAATAATGCAATTACTAACAAAATATAAAGTATATCTGTCACAGAAGAAAACAGTTGATCAAAAAAAGACTTTAGAAATATTCTTAAATACCTCAAAGAATGAAGTCATACATCTGAGTTAGTGACATTCAAGCATTAAAATCACTGCTGAAAGAACATAGTTATATTTAATTTTAAAGACTTCATTGTTAAATAAAAGGCAGGTGAAAAATACTATAACATATAGATGAAACATTAACTTAACTAAATACAACTACTATTTAAGGGGCCTCCCTGGTGGCGCAAGGGGTTAAGCACCTCACTATGAAGCAATCCGAAGCCTTTGCAGCACCAGTTCAATCCCCGGCCAGCCAGGGAGCAGCCCACATGGCATAGCAGACCTCTCCTGTCTTGCCCGCTGCTCCCCTCAGCAGTGTATTTCACTCAGTCTGCCTGTTCTGTTCCCCACTCTGTCTCTGGTGAATCCTCTTACCCACTCCCTGCCATCTCTGGCCTGTACCCCAGCTCTTGTATGCATAAATAAATAAATCTTTAGGGGGAAAAAAAGAAAAAAAAAAACTTTAATTTCCAGTATTGAATAGCTAAGGCAAATGACAAGCAGAAAATGAGTAAGGAATTCAATACCGATCCTAAAAATTACTAAATTAGACAAGTTCAAGGGCCTTTTCTTATTATTTGTACCAAATGGTCTTTTTTTTTCCTAGAGGCTTTGCTGAACCCAGTTATCTTTCTGAACATAAATCTTTTATGTAACCTTCAACATTTTTGTAGAATAAAGCTCAAACTGTTTGGGATAACTTAAAAGAATCCTGCAAAATTGTATTTAATCTTATGAGCCCCCTCCCCTTTTCATTATGAAAGGAAAGGGAGAAAGAAAGAGAGGTACAGGTAGGCAGGAGAGGTATTGCTCCTGTTTTGCAAAGGGGAAAGGTTTGGAAAAAGAATCAGCAGACTTTGGACTGATTTCTAGTCCCTGAAATATGGAAAATGCAAACAGTTCAGAGTGAAAGTTACAAGGATTCTAAAACTTAAAATTACATGGGTTATATCAACCAAAAAAATTAACATTTGGTGTTGGCGAGGATGCGGAGGAAAAGGAACTCTCCTGCAGTGCTGTTGGGAGTGCAAACTGGTCCAACCATTATGGAAAGCTGTGTGGAGATTCCTCAACCTGCTAAAGATGGGGCTTCCATATGACCCAGCAATTCCACTCCTAGTATTTACCCAAAGGACACAGAATCATTAATTCAAAAGGGCACCTGCACCCCTATGTTTACAGCAGCACTATTTACAATAGCTAAGCTATAGAAACAACCCAAATGCCCAAAATTAGATGACTGGCTCAAGAAGATGTAGTACATATACACAATGGAATACTACTCAGCAATCAAAAAAGATAAACTCATGCAATTTGCAGCAACATGGATGGAGCTGGAAGGGATCATGCTCAGCAAAATAAGCCAGAAAGAAAAAGAAAAATACCGGATGGTCTCACTCATAGCAGGAATTTAGAAAACCTAAATAAGGGACCAGGAGAAAGACTAATTATAATAAAGTAAAAATCAAAATCAACAAGCAACTATAAGCCAGAGACATACTACAGGGGGTCAGGGGGAAAGGGTAGGAGGGATTATGGTCAAAATAAGGGGCTTGGGAATTGTATGGGGACTATAATCAAGATGAAAAAGCATACATTGTACAAAAATGAAAAATGACATAAAAATATATAAAATAAAGTATATAAAAATTAACATTTGGAAAGAAAATGATGAATTTTACATACACTAAAATTGTTACAGCAATGTGGAAGTCGGTCATCATTGCTAAGGCATAGAGCTATTCTCAGGCCTGGTCTTATTTTACATATCACACTTCATGCAGGTGACATTCCCTGAAGCTCCAACAGCTCTTGTTGATCGTTCAAAATCTTCAATGGCCCACTTTTTCAGAGAGTAACAGCAGAAGTCCTTTAGTGGCTACAAAGTCAGACACAATCTGTCCCTCGTTACCTCACTAACTTCCTCCCCCAATGTACCATTCTTCCCCATACTCATTCTTCTCTAGTCACAGGGATCCCTTCAAATCCTTGAACACACCAGATAATTATTTGCTCTTAACTCACCTTCTCAAGGAAGTCTATTGTGATAAACAATTTAACAATGCAGACTGCCCATACCCACCACTCCCCGGTATACTCAGTCTCTCTTGCCCTACTCTACTTTTTCTTTTTTCATTAGTAATTGTAACTTTCTAACATAATAATTTGTTTATACTTTACTATTTCATACTTTAAAATATAATTTTAAATAATTTCATTGTGTGAGGGTAGATATCACTCTGTCCCAATATCTTAAAAGGCACCAGACTGAGTTGATGCTAAATAAATAGTTGAGGAATAGTCTCTGGTGAAAATGTGAGTCACAGTTTGTAAGGGTCAGAAAGACCACAATACAGGTTTTCTATGATCCAGCAGACTGGGTAGAGGCGGAGTCAGAGTCCTCAGTGGTTTTGCAGGTCTTTATTGGGATTACAAGGTACACGGCAGACAGGGGTGCTGTGGGGCCGGTAGGCTGGCAGGCCTCCCAGCCCCCAGCAGGTCTTCACTCTGGGCTCTCCGGCCTTCTCTCGGCTTCTGCTTCTCTTGCTTCTCTCTCGGCTTCTGCTGGCATCCCCATGACGCCACCCTTAAAAGCCCAGTCGAATCCCATCTACCTATGCCCACAGCCTACTCCAGGTGCCCGCCATCTGGCATGCATTCAGGACCGCAGGGTTCCGTCATCTATACTAATGGCAGGAGGGCAGAAAAGCCTGACATTTTTCCTTAGCCTACAGTTCACCCCTCAGGGTTTTCTGCCATATAGTCTTCATATATACAATTTTCTTAGCAAACATAAACAATGCAGCCATGGCCCACAAAAGCAAATACATCACAATATAACAACAAAATACAACATAACACAAATAAGTCCAGGCAGGGCCCCAACCTAGTGGCAAAAGACAATTATTGGTACCAGCAGATAAGCCACCAAATCTGCTGCCAAAGGCCCTGCTCATACGAGGGAGGGGAATCACTCACGGCATCTACTGTAACACACCAGGAGCCGTCAGGCTTCCTGGCCTTCTCTAGCTATAGTCTCGGCTACAAGCCACACACAGCATCCACCCACAGCATGCACTCACTCTAGGATTGGTGATTCTATTCTGTTGGGGGTAATTGCCAACCCTCAGGGTTTCTGTCTGCAGTCGCTCCAACATTCGGCCTTCATAGCCACCAATGCGACTCGCAGACCCCCTGCACTCAGGCCAACCCACTGCACAAGCACATGGGTCGGGGATCCTTGGATACAAACTCTACATTCAGCTTGGGCTCCACCCCAAGCCACGTTCCCCACCCATCCCCCAAGGATGGGTTCCTCAGCTCCTCACCCTAACTCGAGAACGAGCAGAGCATCACCCACAGGTGATTTTACGAGACTCACTGGACTTCCTCAGCTTACTTAGTGCTTAACAGCCACTCAGGGCTTCCCAAACTTAGCATTAGTACCAGCTTTTGCCTTCTCAGTTGGCTTTTCTCCTTCGCCTAGTTTCTGGGCAAACACAGGCTGCTTTTGGCCATCAAGGCCCACTGGCCACCCCCAGATTCTCAAAAAAAATAAAATAAAATAACCTGCCAAGGTCCTCCGCCTTCTGGCGGGATTGTCAGTCCAAGTCCATTATGCCTCTCCTACCATCAGCACTGGCAAGTTCTGAATCACAGTCCTCTCTAACCTGACTATTCTTGCTGCCTCAGGGGTCATTGGCTGGTCCTCTTAGGCGTCTCCTCCTCCAGGTGTGGTCTTATCCCGTAGCTCCAGGACCTCGTCCATCTCATGTGCCACCATGATGCCTCCAGCGTTGTCACAGGCAAACAGTCTGTTACTCCTTAGTCCTTCCAGGTCTTTGGAGGGCTCCATACCCGTCTGCATGGATCATCTTGCCGACTTATGCCAATTGTAAGGGTCAGGTAGACCACAGTATAGGTTTTCTATGATCCAGCAGACCGGGTAAAGGAGGAATCAGAGTCCTCAGTGGTTTTGCAGGTTTTTATTGGGATTACCAGGTACATGGCAGGCAGGGATGCTGGGGGGCCGGTAGGCTGGCAGGCCTCCCAGCCCCCAGCAGGTCTTCACTCTGGGCTCTCCAGCCTTCTCTCGGCTTCTGCTTCTCTTGCTTCTCTCTCGGCTTCTGCTGGCATCCCCGTGACGCCACCCTTAATAGCCCAGTCGAATCCCATCTATCTATGCCCACAGCCTACTCCAGGTGCCCGCCATCAGGCATGCATTCAGGACCGCAGGGTTCCGTCATCTATACTAATGGCGGGAGGACAGAAAAGCCTGACATTTTTTCCTTACCCTACACAGTTCTTAAGAGGGAGCTTATAAAATGGCACACAAAAAGAATGTAAAGGGCCTCCCCTGGTGGCGCAGTGGTTGAGCGCTGGGCTGGGAGGCTGCCCGCAGCCTCTGCAGCGCTGGTTCGTTCCTCGCCGCCAGCAAGGGTCCCACAAAAAAAAAAAAAGTAAATTAAAAACATAATAGACTGAAGGAAAAACAGAGAGAGAAAGAACGGTAACCTATAAAAGGGAACATCTTTAAGGCTGTTCATGGAGTTCTCAGTTAGAATCTTAGAGGGGAATGGTAAAAGATAATTAAAGGACTCAAAAAGATTTCTATCCCCAAATACTTTATCTTTAAATATTATGATTCAAGATAGAAGAAAGGGTAAAGTGTTTCACTGAAAAGCAAAAAGTACAAAAAGGGCTATTATACAGCAACAATAAAACAATGTAAAGGGAACAGACACCCAAATTACACACTGTATAAAAGGAGAATAAAAAATGTGACCCATGACAAGCAGTTTTCAAGATTAAATCATGCCGGGCCACAAATATAGTCCATCATCACCAACTTCAGTAAAACCTTCAAAAAAAATCAACAGAAGTAACCATTTAGAAATGAAACCTAAACTAGACATTTTGAAGACCTTCAAAAAAAAAGATAAGACTAAAAAAAATTAAATATCATAATAGCAATAAGCACTTATGTCTCAATAATCCCCTTAAATATAATCAGCTTGAATTCACCAATTAAAAAGCATACAGCTGCTAAATGGGTTTCAAAATAAAGTCTAGCCTTCTGTTGTTTACAGGAAACTGATTTTACCTATAAAGACAAGCACAGTCTTAGGATAAAAGACTGGAAGAAAATCCTATGAACAAATTACAACCAAAAATGTCATGACTAGCAAAAAATTTTATATCTGATAAAATAGACTTCCAATTAAAAAAGGAAAATAAGAGATAATAATCGACATTATACTATGATTAGGGTAAAAGACAATTAAGAAGAAAATAACACTTATAAATATATATGTATCAAATGATACATATCTTGTATCATATATATCTTGGGAACTATTAATGGAACTAAAGAGAGATACTGACAACAACAAAATACTACAAGTGGACTTTAATGCTCTACTAACCACCATGGACAGATTAACAGGACAGAGAATAAAAAAGGAAACAATAGCCTTAAGTAAGGAGTTAAACCAAATAGATTTAACAGAGACCTATAAAACCATAGGCCCCAAAATGGCTTCATCTTTTTTTTTTCAAGTGCATGTGGAACATTTTCAATAAACCATACATTGGGACACATGTCAATGGTCAATAAACTACCAAGAATCATTACAGTCAAAATAACTATTTTACCAAAAGCAATATATATATATATATATATTTAATGCAATTCCCATTAAAATACCAGTGAAATTCTTCAAAGAAATACAACAAAAATATTAAAATTTATATGGCACCACAAATGGCCTCCATAAGGTAAAGCAATCCTGAGGAATAAACGAGAAAAATAAAGGCATCATGTACCCTGACTTCATACTATGAAACAACAGAAATTAAGACAATATGGTATTGGAATAAAAACATATACATGGATCAATGGAACAGAATCAAAAGTGCAGAAATAATTCCACCCATATAACAACACTTAAATTATAATAAAGGAGCCACAATCACACATTGGAGAAAAGAGAGTCTCTTTTAACAAATGGTGCTGGGGAAACTGGATGGCCACATATAAAAGAATGAAAGTGGATCACTCTCTAACTGAATGCAAAACAATAAATTCTAAATAGATTAATGACATAGATATATGACCTACAAGAGTAAAATATGTAGAATAAACAATGGAAATAAATTTCACAACATGAATAATATAGATGTTTTTGGAGAAGAGACCCCACAGCAAGGAAATAAAGCAAAAGTAAACAATTGGGATTAGCTCAAAACAAAAGGTTTTCACACCGTGAAAAAACATACACATAAGTAGATTAAAAAGATGTCTTACTGAATAGGAGAAAACATTTACACACTTCACAACCTCCAGCTGTTAATATCCAAGATATACAGAAACACTGATTTTAACAAGCGAAAAAAAAAACCTAATTAATAAAATGGGCAGCAGATTTGAAAAACAAATTCACCACAGGGGTAGCCATAACGTCTATAGATACATCAAGTTCATCATCATATTTAATAAGGGAGATGCTGGTTGGTCAAAACTACTGAGGTACCATCTCATACCCATGAGAAAAGCACATGTTAAAGAGATCATCAATAAATGCTGCAAAGGATGTGAAAAGTAGAACCTTAATACATTGTTGGTGGGAAGGTAAGCTGGTGTAGCCATTTTGGAAAGTGATCTGGATTTACCTTAAAAACTAAAAATGAAAATACAACATGATCCAGCATTTCCACTTTTGGGCACCTATCTGATGAACACGAAACCATTAAAAATGCATATGCTTTACAATGTTTATTGCAACTTTATTTTCAATAGCTAGGACATGGAAATAGCTTGAATACCCACTGACAGAGGAATGGAATAAAAAGATGTGGTTTATCCACACAATATAAAACTATTTTAGCAATAAGATGTGTAATGTTATCATTTATAGCAAAATGGAAGGAATTTGAGGGAATTATGTGTAGTAAAGCAAGTCAATGAGACAAGTATGAAGATTGAACATCTACACAGCAATCTGACAAAGCAAAATATTCATAAAAACTTGTGAACACTAATATATGAAGTTTCCAAAATTAAGGGGAAGTGAGACAGGGTGAACAGGCCAAAGAGTTTTAAAGGCTGGTAGGGGAAAAAAAGGAAGAAAATTTTATTTTATTCAGATATTTCTGAACTATAGAGCATAATTTTTTTTTTTTAAATCCATTGTATGTACAGGGAAATTCTCCTCAAAGTTGACTAATCTGGGCCTCCCTATGGTGCAAGGGGTTATGTCTCAGCATTTTGAAGCTATCTGCAGCCACCGCAACACGAGTTCAATTCTGAGCCAGGGAACTGACCCACATGGAACAGTAGACCTCTACTGTCTCACCCACTGCTCCCCTCAACAGTGTATTTCAGTCAATCTGTCTGTCTGTTCCCCACTCTGTCTCTGGTGAATCCTCACACCTTTGGCCTGTATGCCAAATCTTGTATGCATAAATAAATAAACCTTTTAAAAAAAGTTGACTAATCTTTCTAAATCACTTAATATTTTAACTTTCTCATCCAAAAAAAGCAATTGCCTAAACATAATATTAAAATCTCCTTCAGGGGCCTCCCCGGTGGCGCAGCAGTTGAGCACTGGGTTGTGAAGCTGCCCGCAGCCTCTGCAGCGCCAGTTCGATCCCCAGCTGGCCGCCAGGCAAGGGTCCCACATGGTGCGCAGACCTCTCCTGCCGCCCGCTGCTCCCCTCAGCAGTGTATTTCGTCACTCTGCCTATTCTACTCTCCGCTCTGGCTCTGGTGAATTCTCTCGCCCTCCCACGCCTCTGACTGTACCCAGAGCTTGTATAAATAAATAAATCTGAAAAAAAAAAAAAAACAAAAAACAAAAAATCTCCTTCAGGAATATGTTACCTGTCAAAGTCAGAGTTCAGACGCTCAAAATTTTTCATTATTCTAAGGACCTGGATATCCTGACTGATGAAACTAGGTGGCAACAATCCATGAATGTTCAATTGCTGTCTCTCTTCCAGGGTAAAAGCCAAGTCCTGTGGAGAAAAGGAAAATAATAATGAAGGAGGAAAAGATGAAAAGCATCAATACACACAAATACTATCCAATAAGAAAGTGGAATTAAAAATCAGAGGATCTGGTATCTAAAAATAGCCAGTTGACTAAGTGATGTACTGTCCATATGTCAGTCTCCTCGTCTTTCAATATTAGAATATTACAATATTTTCAGATGTATCAGGCAAGTAGTTAGATTGAAATTAGGTAATGAAAAAAAGGAAATAATTTGGAATCACATAAATGAAATATAAATATTATTGTTGTCATTAATATAAAAACAAATAGTAACTTTAAATGATTTTTAAATTATGAACATGAGCAGGTCACTTATGATGTGCTGTGTTTCTACCAATAAAGACAAGTTAAGAAATGTCTTATATATGATTCTGAGATAACTACTGGAACACACCTCTCTTCCAAGTTATCTTCTATTACACACTCCTAACCATACAAAATTCCACACCCTTTTATTTTCAGTGACACCATGGTCAAAAACATCTTTCCTCTCTGCTTCTCTGCTCTTCAAGTCATATCTCAAATACTCTCTTCCCTTTAAAACCTTTCAAAATCAACCATTTTGTCCATTAGAAACTTACAACTGTATTATCTTAGTTGTTTATGAAGAAAAACAGTATTAAACATTACTAAGCAAACTATAAGACTCAAAAGCAAGCAAACAAAATAAATAGATGGATCTATGCAAAAACCCAGAATGGTCCTAAAAGATTTGCCATGATATAATAAAAGGGGACGTAATATCAGAGAAACCCCAGCAATCATGAATCTTGAAGACTCAGATGAGGAGACTCAGATGAGGCCTTCCCCTGGAAATATTGAAACCTAAGCTGCTTCTTTGTCTAGACTGTGACTATAGCTCTCCTGGGTCTAGAAAAAGTGATCAACATGATGATAGTCAGATTCACTCATTGTAACACCTACTTATATACCTTAGACAACCTGGATGGGCAGGACAGTGTTCACTAACTTTGCATTGAGTGTTTCTACAGCCATCCTCCTCTGCCCCTGAAAGTTTCTTATAATGACAGAATGGTGGCTCCTGAATCTTTGGGAAGTTTATTACTCTGGGAAAAAAGGATAGTTGGGTATAATACCAGAGGCAGTGACTAACCCTGATAGGTGAGGAATGAACAGGTATAGCCCGAGGAAGTAGCTGAAGGAGCTCAAAGATGAACAACTCTCTCTTTCTTCTAATTTTTGATATGGATAGGCCCATTAATTCCATCACTGATGGCTTATGTTTAATTAGACATCTAGTACTGAGGACAGACTGAAGAAAGTCTTCATGAACTAGTTGTCTAAGATCCTGCATGAACTAGACCATTGACTCCAGACCACTGACTCCACCCTGGCCAGAATCCAGTATAAGAAGTTGCGCATAATTTTGAATTCACAAAAGAATAGTACAGCTAGTATCCAGTTGCAAGATTCTTTTCTCATGAACAATTACTTCATGATTACAAAAAAGCCCCCATTGCTATATGCTAAGTTAAGGGGGTCCTCTGGATTTCCAATACATGTGGACAGCAGCAAAACAATCCTTTTCCAAGAACACAGTCCAGTGTGTTCATCCTGGCCCAATCACCCTTTCTTGGATACCTGGACAACAGAAGCCCAGTGCAGCCCATGAGTTCTTTTCCTGGAGTGAAAAGCCCACACCAGAAGACACTTGGGGTGTTGCCAGAATCTTTTGCTGCCATTTTTTTTTTTATTTATGGTTTGTGACCCCGCACCAAAGTTTGAACTCCATAAGACTCCATGAAACTCCATTTGCTATCTTTTTTCACTCCTTTTCCTTAGTACTTAGAATATTACATAACTAGAACTCGATAATTTCTTGTATAAGCAACTGAGAGATTTTAAAATATTTAACTTTAAAGATATAATAAAATTTAAAAAACAAAATTGCTTCTCAGGAAACTGATTAGCATATTAATTCTAGAAAAATTACTTTTAAATTTAAAGTAACCAGAAAGGGAGATCTCTGTGAAAAAGTAATCTGTAAAACAAAAGCCACACTTTGATTTTTAAAAATATAACTGGAAAGAATGATCAAAGCAAAACATTATGAAATAATTCCTCAGCATGAGCCAGATTTATGCTTAGTAACACCTGAAAAAGCAAGCCAAAAAAATAGAAATTAAAAATTCAATAAATACAGCTAAATTTTGAGTCTTTTCAAAAATATATATTAGAAGAAGCAATAAATGGCTCAATATTATGTACTGAAATCTGCCTGTAAAAATAACTATCAAAATATCAGTACTCTTTAAATGAGGCTTACTGCCAGAGTATTAACATATGCTCTTTCATTCACTTAATAATGGCACTTAACAATCATATATTGGCATAGTTAGCCAGTCCCTTTACATAAATTTTCCAATGTCTGATCTGAACCTAATTCCTAAATCTAGCAGATCTCCCATATTTTATGTCAAGTAAATGGTAATACCATCTGGATTATCTCTTGATATCCTTTGATGTTTATTAACTACAAACTCCTATACACTGTTAGCCAAATTTTCTAAGATATAGTTAAGTGCCAAATTTTCTAAGATATAGAGTTAAGATGTAGTTAAGTGCCAAGTCAACTCTTTAATTAAAAAATAAAAAACAAAAAACTTATGCATTAGAAATCTGAAGAACTAGGCGAAGTTAGAGTCCTATGATAGAGTTCATATTCTGTTACTACCTTTATGCTATTAAAAATAAACAAATCTTAAAATGTCCAAAATTTTAAAATATATTTGGGATGATGTCATTTAAAACACATTTTTTAAGAATGATACATCAATGTGTTTCCTATAAACAGCAACTTCCAAGAAAATATTCAGAGAAAAGGTAAGCATTTTGAACTATTTAATATTTCTGGTTATATATTTTAATTTTGCATGTTAATGGAGACATGTTAACCAAGGTATCAATACTGTTTTAATGTTTTTAATTTAATGTTTTATAGAATTTTATAAACAAGTTATATCTAAAACTTGATAGTGAGACAATACTTTAATACATTCTCTTTATTAAAAGCTAATGTAATATATCTGTTTCAAAGAATTTTACCTTATGGCCATACAGCAAGGCTGATCCAACAAAGGATAGTGTATCCAAAGTACATATGCAGGTTCTAACTTTCACTTGATTTCTACGAGTCTTTCATGAACTTGAAAAGTTTCAGTGTCTATACAAATATTAGGTATCTAGACCACCTATAATTGCAGTTCCCTAAAAGCATTCTCATGCACTCCAGGCTCAACCCTGGTTTTTCTCATCTGTCTTTCTTTTACTTTCCCTATTCCTTAAACAACCTTCTGGCCTAGATCCCTAGAGAGCAGAACGATATGTTGTTTCACTGATGAGAGCAGCAAACAGGACAAGTATTCTTCTGGACTCTACTAATTAATCTACGTTTATCTTCTTGAGAAAAGTGAGACTAACAAGCAGAAGTGGAAACAAAATTCCTGGCATAAAAAGGCTTATATTAGAAACTGTGTTTACACAGTGAAAATATAAATGAGAAAGAAACTTTGTTCTGAATAATTTATCAGAAACATATTACCACAAAAACAAAACAAAGAAAAAAAAAAAAAAACCAAAGGTAGTCTGTATTCTATATTCTGGACCAACTTTTAATGCTTCCAATGAACTTTAGAAGTTTTCCTTTTTTTCCCTAATGACTAAAAATAATTCTATGTGAATGGCAAAAAGGGAAACATTATCTAAATCACAAAAATCTTTAAAGAAAGAAATATATGCATGTATGATAATTCATTATGGTAACAGAATTTATTAATTTAAATGTTTGAGGCCATATTCATAATACAGTAGAGAACTGTGCATTCACTTTTCAACTGGTGAATCTGCAGTGTTCAGAATAATACCTGCCACTTGTAAAGAGTCAACAAAAAAGTGTTATATTAATTAATGATTTGCTGTAACTACACAATTTCTATTATGTTTCGATGAAGACAAAGCAAAATGGTCAATAGGGAAGGTTTTAAAAAGTAGAGGAATAGGAAAAAAGCAATAGGAAAAGCAATAGGAAAATAACTGGGAAAAAAACTGAAAATAACCCAAAAGTCCTTCAACTGGTAAATGAATAAAATAACTAAGACACATCTACACACTAAAATATTACTCAACAGTAAAATGCAAAAAGCTACTGAATCATGAAATATAAAAGCATCTCAAATGCATCATGCTGAAGGAAAGAAGCCATACTCAAAGGGCAATATATTGTGAGTCCATTTATTTTACATTCTGGAAAAGGAAAAATTAAATGGATACAGAAAAATCAATAATTGCCAGGATATAGTAGTGGAAAGAACAGCTGATTACAAAAGGGCAGCAGGAGGAAATTTCTTTTAGGTGACAAAACTATTCATGATTATGATGCTAGTTACATAACATTGTGCGTTTGTCAAGAACAATAGAAGTAGACACCATAAAGAGTGAATTACACTATAGTGAAATTCATTAGGCTCTATAGAAAGTCAACTCAGTGGCTAATTTTCTTCTTACCTAAAGAGAATATAATGAAGAATAAGTTTGCTTAGCAAATTTTTGAAATTTTTCACATTCCAAGTTGCAGAATACCCATTTAAATTTGAACTTTTCTTTATCAAATTTTCTCATAACTTATGATTTCAATTAAATATATGATCTATGTGATTTTATAAATATGGGCTATCTGTTTCAAAAAGTATATTTTATATCAAAAAATTCTAGAAATAATTTTTTTAAAGATTTATTTATTTATTTATACAAGCACTGGGTACAGTCAGAAGTGCGGGAGGGTGAGAGAATTCACCAGAGTCAGAGTGGAGAGCAGAACAGGCAGACTGATGAAGTACACTGCTGAGGGGAGCAGCGGGCGGCAGGAGAGGTCTGCACGCCATGTGGGACCCTTGCCCAGCGTCTGGGGATCAAACCGTTGCTGCAGAGGCTGGAGGCAGCTTCG